TGGTCAGAACTTTGGAAGTTCCTAGTTTTTGACAATTCCATGCAATTGTCTTATAAATGTCTCAAATTTAACATGTCTTAGAAAATAACCCCCACAATTAACCTTTCCCTCAACTTTCACTGTTAATAACGATCATCTCCACTTGCCTAGTTACTTACCCGAATGCCACCATTGGCTCCTGCATTTCCCTGAATCTTTCATGTTCAATTCATAAGCAAATCCTTTCTGTTTTACCTCCAAATATATATTTTTAAAAACATTTACTTATTTCTAAAACCATCTGCTACTCTCTAACTCTGTTGCTACCAATTCTGCCAGACCATCATCTGCTGTGGACTATAATAGCTCGCTTGGTAGACTCCTAGCTCCTACTCTGACTCTTCTACCTGGTCTTCAAACAGAAGTCAGTGTAATCACTCCCTTTATTAAAATTCATCAGTGGCCCATTGCTGCACCCAAATTAAAGCAAATCATTGCCAAGGTCTATGAAGTCTTCCTTGATAGGACCATGATCATTGCCATTTTTCTCACTCTGCCCCAAGCACATGGTATAAAGAAGTGCTCCTAAAGTTATACAACCCTGAAAATTTGCTGGGAATAGAATGCATATGTCACCTTCTTATGGCCACCTGATATAGACACTGCAAAAATGCAAAAGAGTTCCAAGCATCAAGGAATGAATCACAGGAGTGTTCTTGCCTTGAGTGACTGCATGCTTGATTTATCCTGATATTGTAGAGGCCAATGCGGTAGAAAATATCAGAGAGGAATCTCAGCTATGTAGTTCTCAAGAAGCTGGCTAAAGTACATTCTTTGAGATTTCATTCTCTGAGTCTTACTTTACTGATTTCTAAGCTCCTTCTTATCCTACAAGAGATATATTGACACAGAGCCTAGACAAAACACTAGGCAAAGATCACAAACAGATGATTTATTGTTTCATCCTCCTATGTTTGATAGTCAATTTCCCTCAATGTAACTTTGTTTCCCTGCTTTTTAGAAACTGTCAGTAGGTGAATTGTGGGTGCTTCAGTGGCAAGACTTTCAGGCATCTGGGGGTTCTTTGTGAGGTTGTGAAGAACAGATCTTAAAGAGCATGGTCTCATATATCTGCTCCTAAATGCAAGTTATAAAGCCCTCACCTCCTGTCTCTCTGGCCCAAAAGCCACAGAATCAGAATTGAATGTTTAAAGAGATTTTCTACTCTTTTGAATGGTCTTATCCAATACATTAGTTCTTGTTGTTTATCTTGGGTCTTCAGGGTCTGCCCTCCTAAAATTGAATGTATGTAATTAAATATGCGTAATCTCCCTATTCCTGACCTATCCTGAATTCTGAGATGATACAATCAACCTATTTTAAGGCATCACTTTGTCAATCAATCTTTTTGTGGGTCAGAGTCACACCTGTCTTCACATTTTTAGATGTCATTGTCTCTGTGATGAGAGATGGAGAGGCTTTATACACATGTATGTGTATAGTTGAACTAATCACTGAAAACTTATTTTTCTCTAAGGTCTTGTGGAAATTAAAGTCATATATATATGTAACAAACCTGCACGTTCTGTGTATGTACTGTGGAACTTAAAGTAGTTCCGGGGTACATGCGCAGAACGTGCAGGTTTGTTACATAGAAATACACGTGCCATGGTGGGTTGCAACATCCATCACCCTGTTATCTACATTACATATTTCTCCTAATGCTATCCCTCCCCATCACCCCACTGCCTGTTATCCCTCCCCTAGCCCCCCACCCCATGACAGGCTCCCGGTGTGTGATGTTCCCCTCCCTATGTCCATGTGTTCTCATTTTTCAACACTCACTTATGAGTGAGAACATGTGGTGTTTGATTTTCTGTTATTGTGTCAGTTTTCTGAGAATGATCCTTTCTAGCTTTATCCGTGTCCCTACAAGGGTCATGAACTCATCCTTTTTTATGGCTGCATTGCATATGTGCCACATTTTCTTTATCCAGTCTATCATTGATGGACATTCGGGTTGATTCCAAGTCTTTGCTATTGTTAACAGTGCTGCAATAGCAATAAACATACATGTGCATGTGTAGAATAGAATATTTTATAATCCTTTGGGTATGTACCTAGTAATGGGGTTGCTAGGTCAAATGGTATTTCTGGTTCTAGATCCTTGAGGAATCACCACACTCTCTTCCACAATGGTTAAACTAATTTACACTTTCACCAACAGTGTAAAAGCATTCCTATTTCTCTACATCTTCTCCAACATCTGTTGTCTCCTTATTTTTAATGATCACCATTCTAACTGTTATGAGATGGTATCTTAATGTGGTTTTGATTTGCATTTTTCTAATGGTCAGTGATAATGAGGTTATTTTTCACATGTTGGTTGGCTGCATAAATTAAAAACGAGGCAATACCATTCAGGACATAAGCATGGGCAAGGACTTCATGACTAAAAAACCAAAAGCAATGGCAGCAAAAGCCAATAGAGACAGATGGGATCTAATTAAACTAAAGAGCTTCTGCACAGTAAAGGAAACTATCGTTAAAGTGAACTGGCAACCAACAGAATGGGAAAAAGTTTTTGCAATCTACCCATCTGACAAAGGGCTGATATACAGAACCTACAAAGAACTTATACAATATTACAAGAAAAAAAAATCCCATCAAGAAGTGGGTGGAGAATATGAAGAGACACTTCTAATGCCTTTTAAAAATGTGTCCTATTTCTTGAGAAAAAAGTATGAAGCAGTTCTAGACCTTCTTGTTTTTTAAGTTGTGCGTCCATTCTGTTTTTAATTTATTGCTTGTTTTGTTTCTGCTTCCTCCACTCACACTTCAGTGCAACCCAAATTCTTTGTTACTCTCTGTATTTAAATGCCTTTCTGTTGTGCCTAGTAGAAGTCATAGATTCTCCTTTTTTCTGACTGACAGCATATAGACAAATGAGCTTTCATTTCTGTTCAGCTCATGATGATCAATGAGTAAACTGGTGATTTCTTTTCTTTTTTAAAATTATACTTTAAGTTCTGGGATACATGTGCAGGTAGTGCAGGATTGTTACATAGGTATACACATGCCATGGTGGTTTGCTGCATCCATCCCCCTGTCATCTACATTAGATATGTCTCCTAATGTTATCCCTCCCCAAGTCCCCACCCACTGCTATCCCTCCCCTAGCTCTCCCACCCCACAAGAGGCTCCGGGATGTGATGTTCCCCTCCCTGTGTCCATGAGAGGAAATGTGGCATATATACACCATGACAATTTCTTTTACAAATTAACTATGAAATTTCCACTATTATGCAGAGCTCTTGTGACATTTGTCCTTATGTAAATAAGCATTGAGACTTATTAGTTTGAATTTATAAACAGGTTTATAATTTTCCCATGAACAATATTTTAGAAAACACTAGCTGATATGAACCATTTTGAAATACAATTAATTGTTAATACAAATAGACATTATTTTGAAAGACAACCGTTAAATTTTAGTAAGGCAGAGCATGTTAATATCAAGTTCCTCCTATATTAAATATCTTTAATGATCAAATTTCTATTTTCAATTTTTATTTATATAGGCATCTTAATCTAATAAATTGAATCATAGAATGAATTAATAGAAATGACTAAGGAAGCCATGACAATAGATTTATAATTTACTTGGTGTGGCAAGAAGATAGCATCAAATGCATGAAAAAAGTTAATATGATTTTATTACATTGAAGAACATCATTTCAATGAAAATAATAGTAAAGCTTCTTGGAAGCTTTACAGAATTACTTAATTTAGATGACAGAAACTTCTTAGACATCATTTTAGGGGAAGAAAATAATTTTCTATTTCTAAGCAGCTAAATAAATGAAAAGAGTTTTATTTCAAGGTACCTTATGCAAAGCAATATTGGGTCTTTTACAAGACTCACAGAAGAAACAATTTTATTTCAATCCTGGCAGCTCAGAGTAGAAGAAAATCATGGAATTAGATAAGGTCTCCCTCCCATTGACTTATGGCTACTTAAAAGCAAAGGGGAGAAAACTGATATATACTATATTTGGCTCAGGGTGCAGCACTGTGGGTATTCCTATTTAATACTTGTAATATAATTGGTATATTGTTTCTGAAAAAATATTGGCAATGTATATCAATACATACAGCTATCAGTGCAGCAATTCTGTTTATAAGAATGTATGCTAAGAACATAATACAAAATATGTGCAAAGCTATATATGTGTGTGTGTGTTTGGTGTTTGTGTCTACATATGTGCATTTACATAAAATATGCATATACAAATATATGTATATATATAGATGACATGTGTGATATGTAAAGACATAGGCACATGCAATGTATATATACACATATATATATGTGACATTTATTATATAAATATTTATTATAGTATCAGTCCTAAGAGTGACTAAGTTAATTATGGCATATCCATACAATGAAGTCCTGTGCCATCACTTAAAATTACCATGTAGATTCACCTTAAATATTTAATATATTTCTAATTTTTTTGTTGTACTTTAGGTTCTCGGGTACATGTGCAGATCATGCAGGATTGTTACATAGGTACATACATGGCAAGGTGGTTTGCTGCCTCCATCCTCCATCGCCTGTATCTGGCATTTCTCCCCATGTTATCCCTCCCCAGCCTCCCCACTGCCCACTGTCCCTCCTCTAGCCCCCACAACAGACCCCAGTGTGTGATGCTCCCCTCCCTATGTCCATGTGTTCAAAACCTATTGAAACAAAGAAGTCCATAGTGTATAAGAGTATTATTGATTATTAAATAATTGGAAATCGTAACACAAAATGTGAATAGTGGTATTACTGGTTTGTAGAATTTTTTCATTTATTTCTGTTTTACTAATTTTCTGATTTGGTTATTTATTACTCTAAAAATCAGTAACGCCATTGAAATGCGGTTGAAAAATATCTGAACAAAGCTGACAACGATATCTTTGCAAGATTTACATGTTTGGCAAAGATGTGCGTGCTCATTCAGTGCACTTACCTTTGGCAAGGAAGCTCGTGATCCTGAACTCTGTGTCGTCATCGTCAGCACAGTAGTTATTCCCAGAGCTACCCTGGCCGGCGCTGCATCCATGTTGATCCAGAATGAAACCCAGGATAGAATAACAATCAGGAGACTGGGAATGTACATCTGGATCAGATAGTATCCCATTTGTCGCTCCAGATGGAATCGCACTTCTATACACGTAAACTTTCCTAATTGGTGGTAAGGTAAATAGCAATTAGTGAAAATAGGGCTTTGTTATGGCATCAAGTATCACAATTTGTTTTTTCTTTTTCTTTTTCTTTTTCTTTTTCTTTTCTTTTCTTTTCTTTCTTTCTTTCTTTTTTTTTTTTTTTTTTTTTTGAGACAGGGTCTTACTCTGTCGCCCAGGCTGGAGTGAAGTAGTGTGATCTCAGCTCATTGCAGCCTGTGCCTCCGGGGTTCAAGAGGTTATTCTGCCTCAGCTTCCCTGGTAGCTGGGACTAGAGGCATGTGCCACCAAGCCCGGCTAATTTTTTTTTTTTTTTTTTTTTTTTTTTTTTTTTTTTTTTTAGAGACCTGGTATCACCATGTTGTCCAGGCTTGTGTTGAGCGCCTGACCTCAGATAATCTGCCTACCTTAGCCTCCTAAAGTGCTGGGGTTACAGGCGTGAGCCACCATTCCCAGCCTCACAATTCCACTTTGATAAAGATTCTGTCATAAAACTTTCCACAACAATGAAAAGAGACTCATATTAATTCCTGAAAAATATTTTTTCTCTGTTAGCATCTAGAAGCAATGTAGTAAGAGAGTATACTCTTTTAGGAAATAGGAAATTTTATTACTTCCCATTTGAAGAGTTTTTCACTTTCAAGTGAAGATCTATTATTTCACTTGATTCTGACAATTGCTTCCGAGGCAGACAAGAGAAATAGATACTTATTATATAAAGATCTTCTTTACTCTTTGGCTGTTTCCAGTGCTTTCAGTGGTTCTTTAGAGCCAGGTGCTATTTGTTCCAGAAGACTTTCCATTTTCTTTAAAATAAGTGCTGGAGGATAAACATAGTTGAAGATGAATGGTTCTCTGAATAATAATGCAATTAGGAAAATGTGTTATTTCCCATTAATAACTTTGAAAATAACTTAAAAACACACTTACTAAAAACAAGTGGGATTCATTTGTACTATATGCTTATGGTTCTGTGTCTCTATTATTTACCTCTATTGTGGTAAGCCACAAATAGAGGAGTAAGTTATGGTTTAATTCAACATTAAGTTTATATTTTTGCTTGTGTCCTGGTTCTACTCCCTACTCTACCGATACTGATTTACACTACTCTATGTTATCTCTTCTTTATAAAAATTGTTCTTCTAAATCATCCAGTTCTTGGTTTGTTTTCATTCTAATTATTTTAAGAAGGATGAGGTCAGAAAGTTAACATTCTGCTCTTTAAGTAACATTCTGTTACCTACCATGGAAGAAAGATGTTACAGAGCAATTGCTATCCTATTGCTAGGTAGGGCTCAGGGCAAACCTTCTATTAATGTGACTTGGGCCATACGTGGTTGCACAGATGACTCAAGGGTGCTATATCTGGATGAACCCATGTATATGATTCTAGAGTTTAAATCTCAAAAAACGTTCATAAACTCCGGGGAAAGTGGATTCCAATCTTAAGTGAATAGTAATCTGAAACATTTGTGCAAACCATACATGATCCTTCTGTCAATTTATCAAATATATACCAAATGCCTAAAGATTCCTGAAATATATGAGAATACTTTATATTTTAAATATTTTAAAATGCTATTAAATATGAAGTTTTAAATTTTTCTATGAAAAAGAATGAAATGGAATAAAACAAGAATAACTGAAAAATTTTTATAACATCAGCTAAAGAACTCACTAAGTAATCTCATAGCATGATTACTGACAAATACTAATCAGTCAGATACGTTGTATAAGTTCTCTAAATGTTAGGTGATACTCAAGGAAAAAAATAAGCTCCATTGTGTTTTTATTTTTAAAAAAGTGTTTTTCAAAGCTCAAAATCACTAATCGTCAGAAAAATGCAAATCAAAACCACAATAAGATATTATCTCACCCCAATAAAATAACCATTGTCAAAAAGACAGAAAATAACAAATGCTGATGAGGAAGCAGAGAAAGCGGAACACCCATACACCATTGGCGGGAATATACATTAGTACAGCTGCTGGAGAAAATAATACAGGCGTTCTTTAAAAACTAAAAATAAAGCTACCATGTGATCCAGCAATCCCACTACTGGGTATATATCCAAAAGAAAGAACATGAGTGTATTAAAGAGATACCTGTTAACTGCATGTTTGTTGAAGTCCGATTCAAAATAGCTAAGATAAGGAGTCAACCTAAGTGGCCCTCAGTGGAAGAATGGATAACGAAATTGTAGTGTCTACATACAATGGAATATTATTCAAAGAAAAAAGAATGAAATTCTATCATTTGCAGCAACATGGATAGAACTAGATGAAATAAGCCAGGCATAGAAAGACAGTATCACATGTGGAACCCAAAATAATTGACTTCATGGTTGTAGTGAAGAGAATAGTGGTTTTGAGAGGTTGAGAAGAAGGCAGGTGAAGCGGTTGGTGAGTGGGTCCCAAAGTACACTTAAACAGAATGAATAAGTTCTAGTGTTCAATGGCACAATGGGGTGAACTATAGTTAACAATTTATTGTACATTTCAAAATAGAAGAAAAGATTTAGAACGTTCCCAACACAAATAATTAATAAATATATGAGGTGATAGATATCTCAATTACCCAGGTTTGATCGTTTCAGATTTTATGTTTGTATCAAAATTTCACATGTACCCCCCCAAAAATATGTACAGCTATTATGTATCCATAAAAATTAAAAAGTTTTTATAATATTGCTGGGAAAGAAAATTAGGGCATATACACATGGACACAAATATACACCATTGTCTGAATATAAATAAATATAGTCAGTATATGTGAATCTGAAGAGAAAAAAGAAAAAGATGGATAAAATATTTGTCACTTATGCATAGCAGCGGACCCCAGAAACATAGTAATCAATAGAATAAATATAATACAAACAGAACAATGAAGGAAACAGGCAATAAATAAGTAAATATAAAATTGAATGATGTAATTTCAGAAAGTGAAAGCAGGATTTGGGTGTTTAACAAACATGGATGTTTCAAGAGTTGGCATTTGAGTGACCCTGAAGGATGTGGGAGCATTAGGCTTGGAACGATCTGGGAAGAGCTTTATATGCAGAAGGAATAGCAAGGGCAAAGGCCCTGAGACAGAGATGAGCTTGGTGTATATGAGCAAGCAAGTCATTGTGGGAGGGGATTATGGAGCAAGGGGAAGACGGGTAAAGGATTTTGGAGAAATTATTAGCAGGAAACAGATTCTAGGGTGCTGTAGCATATAACAAATACTTACTTTGGGATAGTGAATATAAAACTGAAGAAATCCTCTAATTCCGTGCAATTAAATTTATGTATGAACACATTTTTAACTTAAGTATATTTCATTTATGGGAAGAAAGGGTATTTTATAAATGCGGTTCTTAGGTAACCTACTATTGTTATTTGTTTGCTGTATTTGCACAAGCGACATAAGAGACATATGTGGTATCTGGGCCTATTATTGGAAACAATTTAAAGAGGATATTCTTGTGCATTGTAAAAGCAAATATGAAATGGAGTCTGAGATCTGAAGCAAATTAACCATGTACTTGAATGAGGACTCTATGAGATGCTTTTATTGTCTATATAATTTGGGCACATTATTCTGCTTCTGGACAGTACGGTACTTCTAGAATGTAAAGTTGTGTCATCTCTGTGATATCATCCAAGGAAGAGACCATCTGTCCCATTCCTTGCTTATAGTAGGCATTCATAAATGCAAGTTCTTTTACTTTATGCTGTAATAGCTCACTTAATAACTCAAGGAAGTATGCAAACTTACTTTGAGGAAGTGTCTTGAGACTCTCTATCATAAAAATTCATCCCTAATTGATGTTTACAATTTCACCTCTTGCTCTGCGTTAAATGATATCTCCCTAAAATGCATGTCCACCCAGAACCTGTGAATGTAACCTGACTTGAAAATAAGGTATTCGCAGATACAATTAAGTTAAAATGAAAATGTACTGGATAAGAGGGGGTCCCAAATCCAACATTACTGATATCCATATAGAAAGAGGGAAATTTGGACACAGAAAAACAGACGCACAGACACACAGGGAAAATCCCATGTGACTCTGACATTTCAGAGACTGCAATGATAAAACTGCAAGCTGAGAACAAGGTTTTCCAGAAATAGGTAATCAGGAAGAAACAGGGGAAAACTTTTCCCTAAAGCCTTGAGGAAAAGCATGGTCCTGCTGACACCTTGATTCTGGACTCCTAGCCTCCAGAACTATGAGAGAACACATTTCTGTTGTTTTAAGTCACTGTTTGTGATAGGTTATTATGGCAGCCCTAGGAAACTAATATACCTGCCTAAGACAACTAGAATCTAGGGGATTTTTAGCATCTCTCTAAGGGAACTGGGCAAGGACACTGCTATTGACTTGCCTGCCCTTTATCTTTGTGTTGAGATGTTAAACTTGAGCTCCCTAATAAGTTAGATATCAGCTTCCTCTCTGAGTTAAAAGGAAAATGGCAGTGACTTTTTGTTCAGATATTGTGAATTTGCTAAGGAGATAAGAGACTAGGGACTTTGTATAGTGAAAGGGCAGAGCACAGTTCTGGAAAATGTTGAGTCCGCAATGAATCACAGTTACTGTAATGAAATGATAAGAACAGCAGCTGATGCTAGTGGGAGGGCATGCACTCACCACAATGGAGTGATGTCTCAATCATGGGCCATTTAATGGAATTCAGAGAAGTAGACTATACAGTTAGATTATGTCTTATGGAATAGCCCATGTTAGCTAAAGCAATTGAACAGAATTTGTCAATATTCAAATGTCACATTGAGTCTCTCAATTCTTAGTGTTGATAACTGTATCTGATGTTTATGTCAAGTGTCTTAGTATGCATAGTAGGCACTTAGGTAAAAATATGCTGAAATGCATGAAAACATGACAAATGGAAAAGTTAGCCAAAGGAAGCTTTTTTTTTTTAAAAAAAGCAATTTAAAAAATTTTTCTTAACACAGTGTTTACTGCTCAAGAAGGGTTAAAAACACATTTCATTGCTCACAGAAATTAAAGGAATGGTTTTGGAAACATTATTACTATGTACTTATGAGCTTTCCATTAAAATTATTTAAATATAATTTTTATTTTTAATAAAAATAAAGACCAAGCATTATTTTGGTCTCATACAGATGAATTATTTAACAATATGCAATGAATCAAAGCATTCAGACATTTCAAATGCATCCATTCTCTGCTATATGCCTATGAAAAACATTGATCTATGAATAGTTAACACAGCATTATAATGAAGAAACATCTGGATATCATAAAACCACAAGTAGTAAGTGTAAAGAACACTACTCAACCCCTACCTGTATTGTAATGTTTAGTGCAGTATCGTAAATCTTTTTCTTCTTTCAACAGAAACTGGGGCAAAGTGAGTCCTTCTGCTACTTGTACAGGTGCCTCATCTTGCCATTCAAAAATGAGGTCATTCATTGTGTACCCAACTAGGCAAAACATAATAACATATTAATAGTCTAAAAAGCACAAAGAAAAGAAATACAAATTACTTGTATCGTCATACAGGATGAAAAGACCAAACAGTGCCATCTTACGGTAACTCTATTGGTGAAGCTACTCATTGCCCGATTCCAGTTCATAAATGTCTACTGAAGTCTATTCATGTGGAACTCCCATCAAGTAATGTAAGAAAACGAAGTGGGCTAATTAAAAGTATATCATGGCATGTAGAAACTTGAAAGGACAGGTATATACATTCTTTCCTTGGGACGTCTAGTTACTAGATTAATTTTGTAATTTTCGTTTTGGTTTCGTTCCATCCAGTTTCTTCTCACTTTCTTTCAAATTATTCAGGACTCTCTCAACAAAAACTGAAAATGACACTGTTTAGAAAATGACTTAAACTTAGCTTAAGAATAAATGTCAGAAATCTCTTAATTGTATACAGATTGCTCAAGGATTTAGGCATGTTAACTTTAGTTCTGTTGTGTTTTGAATCTCTTCAGTTACAGGTAGACAGAATTTATTTTTGTGCACTTAAACCCATTTAGAAAATATCTACAAGGTAAAAATGGAAAGGAAATCAAAATTTATTTTTTCATGCAGATTTTGATACATATTTCATTATTAGCGATTCACCAATTTTTTACATTAATTTGAATTAAGTGTTTAATTCAAAGATAGGGGAGCATTCAGTATTGATATATCTATAAGCTTTTAAAAACTTCATCCTTTATACATAGTCAAGGTTTGGACCACACAAATTACAATTTTATTATGGAAAAATTTCAACTCCTCAAGCCATAATATTTAATAGAATCAAAAGTATTTTCTTTGGAATTTCTTGAACAGGCAAACGAAAGATTATTATAGAATGCATGTATTTTATTTTCTCTTTATAACAGCAACAGCAGTATATTGCTGGCAGCTATTGTATTTTTTAAAAGTATATTTTCACTATATAAAGGATTCTTCTTCCTCCCTCATGAAAATAAATAACAACTTGGGGTAAAAAAAAATGACTTTAACATCTGTGGGGTAAAAGTACTACCACATCTTCCTTGATTTAATCATTAAACTGGATAGTTTGTGGAGGTGGAAACTCTTGCACATATCAGTGAATTCAGGATAGGATTGATTAATGGATTTTGTAATAGGTCAGCATCCTTTAGTAAACTAAAATTTCATAATTCTATATGGCAGGTATCTATGAACAGCAGAATTTATCTTTTTCTTCCTTCTGAGTGAGAAGCTATTGAATGTATGCTTAAAGGCTGTTACAGAAAAAGAGTCACAAGTGAATGTGACCTATGAGGTAGAACTGTTGTTACTTTGATCAATGAGTCTCTTGATGCACAACCACCATGGAGGTAGAAAGAGAGAGGAGACATGGTGTAGCCTCTGAACCAAGTCAAATGATGAGTTTGTTAAAAGCAGCTGGGAACAATGGCCCATGCTTGTAATCCCAGCCCTTTGGAAGGCCAAGGTGGGCTGATCACATGAGGTTAGGAGTTCGAGACCAGCCTGGCCAACATGGTGAACATCTCCGTCTCTACTAAAAAATATAAAAATTAGCCAGGCGTGGTGGCGTGCACCTATAATCCCAGCTACTTGGGAGATTGAGGCAGGAGACTCAATCGAACCCAGGAAGTAGAGGTTGCAGTGTGCCGAGATCGCACTGTTGCACTCCAGCCTGGGTGAAAGAGCTTGCCGCAAACATGTTGTGGAAACAAGCTTATATTGTAGGGAAGAGGCTGTGTGAATGCCTGGAAACAACTGGCATGGAGCAGATTAAGCTGAATAGAACACTGAATAGGGAAATGACTGATCGCCTTCTACCCTCCCCAATGCCTAAGTAAAACTCTTCCAGACAGAGTGAAATCTGATCCAGCTAAGGTGGTAGTGACTGGAACCAGATGCCATACCACAGTTGACCCTTAGGTATACCTCCCACTCCATAGGCAGTGGAGATGGTAGTAGCAAGGGCATCAGTGACCAGATCTCTCTAGACTTCATGGGATTCTGTTGCTGAAGTTTTTAGCGGAAGCATCATCAGCGTGATGGCTCATTATGGAGCAAGCACTATTTGGTATTGTGAAGTCATTGAAATGGAAGGAAGTGTGCATCTACATATGAATTTTGATTCCAGAGAACATGTGGGAACCTGAAGAACTGTCCCTTAGGCTGTTGGATTTAGCAAAGCAGGGACTTGATACTTCCTTATACTAGAACATACTTCATTGAACCCTGCAATTAATGATGATTTGATTGGTAATAATAGAAAGTTTTCACTTTAATTCATAAGTCCTTTAATATGTCCATTATAAATACCATTTTACCAAGAGAGAAAGACGTACATTTCTCAATGATTTAAGGATAGTAAAATAGGCAACAATTCTATCTACTGCCAGATAAGACATGTTTCTCACTCTTCCGTACGTATAATCACTGAAGACAAAGTATGTGAGATTGAGTTCCAATTTAGACAGATGAATAGAAAAATGACCTGATACTTCATTTCTTTTTTATATTCAAAATTTTTCTCAAGATATTCTGGGAAAAGAAACTAGCTTTGTGAAATTCCTTCAAAGACAATCTTTATTTAGTTGCTAATGCAATTTATAGATAGTATATGTAGTTTGCTTTTGCTTCAAACAGTCATCAACATTAGTTTAGGTATGTGTATTTCATAATCAGACTATACTACTTCATTATGCTTCAAAAAATACTTAAGTTTGAAAGCAGAAGGAAAATAGTAAGAGGCCACGATTAGAGGGAAACTTCTTTATTCTGAGTAATATACTGGTTGTTTAAGGATAATAATTAAGTGGTAATATTGTCTCAATAAACTCTCAAATCTAATTTAAAAAAATCAATATTCCTTTACACAATTCAAAATGTTTTAACATCTTTATGCTTTTGGTTGGTAGATCTTTTTAAAAGTCTGAGAATATTAAAGAGAACAGCCTGGCTGATGAGATCAAGATTGTGAGCTGAATTACCTTATATCACAATAAGCTTCCCAATGAAAACTAATTTATTCAGGGAGCAGACATTAACCCTAACTTCAGTCAACAATGTCATATGGTAGCCACACCAAAACATGTAAACAAATGGCTCAGCACAACCAAATGCTTGTTTTATCAAAAAGTTATTTATTGAGCGCTATCTATATGTAACACGTCCTGCTATGCTTCAAGGAATGTGAGATATTATTGCCAAATAAAGTGTAAGTGGCATGGGTGAGGCAGAAAGTGCTATGTACATTTAGGGCAGGGTTCTGTGATATCTCCCTAAGCCTCATTTGAGCTGGACCTTGAAAACAAGGCAGGACCTGCATATAAAGTAAGCAAGAGAAGGTGAGGCACTTCTGGTAAAAGAAGCAGCAAAATCATTTGAAAGAAACTGAAAATTCCCAAGGTTTATAATAGCAATGGGAACAGCTTCATTTGTCTACAGACAATTTGCATGAAGCAGCATATGAAGTGACAAATAATGTAAGATAATATAAAGTTTCAATTTCAGCTGGAAAGTTCGACCATTGGAATCTTTTCAGTAAGAGGCGACACACACATATTGTGCTTGAGCAGTATTACTCTAGCAGGATCTTTTCATGGAATTCACAAGGTCAGAACTGCTTTCATAATCATAAGACATTTGCCTTTTTCATTGTGTCAACACTTGCCCTGATGTTGAAAAAACAATGGTGGGTAAAACTTCTAGTGCTTTAGCACAAATGAAGGGGCTGGCACCAAACTGTGCTAGGAGTTACTATATTTTTACTGCTATATCTTGCAGTAAAAATATTTCAATTTTTATTTATGAATATCTGATCCTTCATGAAACAGTAAATATCTTACAGTAAAAACAATGCCACTTTTATTTCAGAATGTTCTTGATCTTTGATGAAGCACTAACAATGATTAATTTTATTAAATTTGAACCCTATGTAAATATATTTTAGTATTCTGTGTGTCAAAATGGGAAGTCTGCACAAAATAGCTGCAGGCTGTAATATATTTCTTTCAAGGATAATCACTGGTGTCTTTGAGTTGCAAGCTGAACTGGCTTGGGTTTTTTTTTTTTTTTTTGGGAAATACTATCTTTTACTTGAAAAAGTGGTTGGAAACTGAATATTGTGCCTAGGTATTTGACAGACCATTTTCTCAAAGATGAAGGAAGTGATCTTACCTGAACTCATCACGTTAAGGTAAACAACAGACAGTATTTGCTATCAATGATAAATTTTAAACTTTCAAATCAAAATTAAAATTTTGGAGAAATTGTTGTTACCCCATGAGCTTGATAGCTTCCCAATACTTAAAGATTTTTTGATGGACTTGATAATGACATCAACAAATATGATCTTTTGTTATGTACAATGAAATGCATCAGCTGTTTGGAAGATCTGAATAACTCATCAATCTGATATTTTCAAAATGACAAAAGCATGTTAAAAAAGCATAGATGTAAGACCCATACAAAGTGCAAGATAGACAAGTGGATTTTAATTTAAAAGAATAGGTAGAGTTCATTGACATGGTTTCCAATTCTACATTGCAATTAATTTTTAAGAGACTAAAGAATTGTGCCTCTATAAAAAAACAAAACAAAGTGAAAACCCCCTCATTCTTTCACAATGGTCAGCAAGGAGTATAAGTCAGAGGTAACATTTCAGTAGGTAATTTAACCAAATTAGGCACAAAATTAACTATGTGTTTACAGAAAATAAAGAAAAATTTCAAAGTTTTTAGTCTAAGTTGCTGACAAATAGCTATGAAACCATATTTGCTTATATTTCATACCTCATGCCATTAGAGTAGCTTTCGTTGACCATCTGATAAAACACCTTTCCTCCAGTTACTCTACCTTACCACTTTTCTGTTTATTTTTTCCATAGTACTTATCCTTACCTGACATTATATATATTCATCAGGTTTTTTGTTTTCCTACTTTGTCTCCTAGATTTTATTCTTTATAGAAGCAG